GCCCCCGCGGACCTCACGCCGCAGCCCCGGCCCCCTCCCGCTCCTCCTGCTGGGACCCAGCCCTAGGGCTCTGCTGCCTCGCTGTTCTTTGAGTTGTCACACCGGCCTGCACTCTTGTCGGGATATTTATTTCTGCTGCTCACCAGACTCCCAGTTCCCTTCCTCCCTGGTGGCTGTTGCTTCTCCCCTGGGTCCTTTTCGCGTGTGAGTTGCCCGCACCCCTGACCGGTCCATCTGCCTTTCTATTCTCCCAGCTCTCCCTCGGAGACCCTCTGTGAGGACCACTGGTTCGTGCTGGCAGAGGTCCCGGCCCAGCACAGACCCTGGCCCAGAGCCACCCCGTTTCCTCTCCCCGGCCTCCAGTAGCCTGGGTGGCCAATTCCATCTCCATGAATGTGCTAAGCTCCTGTCAGCTGGGAGAGAAAAGAAATAAAGCGTATTTGGCTAAGAGAATTGCTGTCCCCCTTTCCTGGGAGGCACTTAGAGGCTGCCTTGTGTCCTGAAACAACTCGGGAGCTTCCCACCTTTGACTGAATTCCCAGCTGTGGTCCTATACCACCTGTTTTCACATTGGGTGGCGCATTATCAGAAGAGGGCATTAAGGATTGAGAGAGAGAGAGAGAGAGATCAGACTAGAGATAGAGATGATAGAGAGAGAGAGAACTTAGTCATTTGACTAACTTCTCTTGGACAAAAACATCAAGGGTGGCAGAGAGTGACTGATGGGTCCCTGACAGAGTAGTCAGTTGGGAAAATGGGTGAGACAGAAGCTGAGGCCTTAAAAGGCCGATGAAGGCAGCAGAGGAGGGTGGAGGTGCAGGGGCTGGGGGCTGGGACACAGATTTCCACAAGCTGCACCACCACTTACTGGCTGGGTGGCCTTGGGCACATCCCTTCAGTGCTTAGTGCCTCTCTCTCCTCACCTGAGAATCAAATGCTGGAAAGTTAAATCAGTTAACCCAGGTAAAGCGGTTACCAGGGCCTGCGGCCTAGTACGACCTTAAAAAAAGGTAACACTATAATGCTGTGTGTGGTGAGAGACTCTGTCTGTCTCGATCATGACTGCATCCCTAGTGCCCAGACGGCCTGGCACTTGGTGGGATTCAGTGCTGAGAGAATGTGACGAGAGCACTATAGGCGGTTCGATGCCCGTGAACAATGTCAGGCATTGTGGGGATGGCGGTTTCGGATGCTGTGCACTGCTGTGATGGTCTCCTCTGAGGACTCGGTCCGTCCCAGCCGTGGGTCTCACAGCAGGTGAAGAAGCCTAGGGACACCTGTTTCACCATCACGTTGTGACGGAAAAAGTCGTTAACACAATCAGTTTGATGCCAAAACCTTATTTTTAATTTTATATATGTTTATAAAAACTGGTCTTTATAAGATTAATTTTATTGTAAATGAACAGATAAATTTCTATTAGAATTTTGGTAAAAGTTTTCCTAAATGAAGAACCTCCATCACATGAAAGGAGAGGAAGAGCTGCAGAGCCAGGGCAGGGGCGGGGAAGGCGGTGCTGTCTGCAGGCTCCGCTCCCCCGGGGGGAGGAGCCGCCCGTGGCCGCACCAGCTGCGGTTCAGAGGCCAGGATGTGGGCTGCGCAGCCTGAGCGGAGCGCGGTGCCGAGGCCCGCGGGGGAGGCGCCCCCCTCGGCTCCCAGGGCGTGCGGTCAGCTTGCAGGGAGGGGAGGCCGAGCGCTGAGGATCCGTCTCAGTGCAGCTCCAGCCAGGCGGCTCTCCTCTCTCTCTGCACTCAGAAACCTCCCTGCTGGCCACAGGGCTATTTATGTGTGACCAGGACTGAAAAAGCCATTTGCGGTTAGCAGCCTTTCACATACCCGACACACTGGGCCTTGGGCTGGCCATGGTCCCTGTCGAAACGCTGCTTCTATCCCTCTAAACTCTCAGCACACGCTCACGGGGGCTCGGCGATGCTGACCTTCACCAGCTGTTGACCGGCAGGGGCCGGGTGGCAGCTCTGCCCCGGGGGATTTGATGATGCCCAGTCAAGGGGAGATGTGGCTCAGCATGATAAAATCGATAACGATTCACTTTTAGTGCACATTTGCTGTGCTCTAGAAATTGTTCTTAGCACTTTACGTGTGTTATCTCATTTAATCCCTATGACAATCCAGCAGGGAACAGGTTGCTGTCCTTGCTGTACAGATGAAGGTGTGGGGGCTCAGAGGGACACTCTGAAGTTGTACAGTTAGTGAGGATCAGAGCCAGAGTGGAAGCCGGGCTGCCCAGCCCGAGGGCCCTGACCCGTACCAGGGCCGGCCGCGGTCATGGAGAGGCTCCCCAGACCCGGCCGAGAGCCGTGTGTAACTGCCTGGGGACTCCTCCCGCGAGTGCTTGCTAGTCACGGGCACACCGGCACTGTGCTGAGCGCTCCGGGCAGGCAAACAGTTCCAGTCTTCAAGGAACTTGCAGTCATATAATGTTGCCCACGCCTGTGGGAAGTTAGAAACAAGAGAAGAACAAATGTGATTAAGCACTGGTGAGGACCACAGATGGCGTGGCACGTGCTGCGAGGGGGAACTGAGAGCTGAGGTGATCGGAAAGCAACATGGATGCGGAGAGACGTGATCTGGGCCTTAAAGGGAAGGAAGGATAGAGTTTGAAGACAAAGGAGGGGGCATTCTACTCACTAAGATGAAATAGATAACCCAAATTGCCCTTTAGCTATTAAATAAATTAAATTATAGTTAAAAAGCTTTCCACAAAGAAAACTCCAGACCAAGATGCTTCATTGGTGAAATCTACTAAGAATTTAAGAAAGAAATAATACCAATTCTACACATACTCTTCCAGAAAATTGAAGAGAGAATACTTCCAACTCATTCTATGGAGACCAAACTTATCTTGTGTAATGGTAAATTTTAAGTGTCAAGCTGAGCCACGATACCCAGATATTTTGTCAAACACATCTGAATATTATTGTGAAAGTATTTTTTAGTTGAGATTAACATTTAAATCATTAGACTTTGATTAAAGCAGATTACTCTCCATAATGTGGGTGAGCCTCATCCAATCAGTTGAAAGCCCTAAGGAAAAACAGACCAAGGTCCTCTGAGGAAAAGCGAACTCCTCTGTCTCCAGACTGCCTTTGGGCCCAGCGGCAGCACCAGCTCTTCCCTGGGTCTCCAGCCTGCAGTACCACCTGCAGATTTTGGACTTGCCAGCCTTCACAATTGCATGAGCTAACTCTTTAAAATAAATCTCTCTCTTTCTTCTCTCTCCATATGTGTGTGTGTGTGTGTATATATATATATATACACACATATATGTGTGTGTGTGTGTGTGCGTGTGTGTGTGTGTGTGTCTTACTAGTTCTCTTTCTGTGGAGATCCCTGACTAATATACTCTTATACCAAAACCAGACAAAAACATTACAAGAAAAGAAAACTGCAAACCAATATTCCTTATGAATAAATGAAAATTTGCTTCACAAAATTTTAGCAAATTTAATCTAATAATATATGAAAAGAAATATCACTATGACCAAGTACAGTTTATCTCAGGAATGCAGGGTTGGTTTAACAGACCATGCCACCAATGTAATTACCATGTAATAAATTATGATGTCATTTCTATGGTTTTACTACAAAAGTAAAGCCATATAAATATCTCAGTGGATGCAGAAGCAGCACTTGACAATACAACTGTTTTGTGCTAAAAATTCTCAACAAATTAGAAAGAATAGGGAATGTCCTCAACTTGTTAAAGGGCATCGAAGAAAAGCCTACAGCCAACATCATATTTAATGATGAAAGACAATGCTTTCCCTCTAAGAGCACAAACAAGCCACTTCTATTCAACATTGTACTGGTTATAGCTAGTGCAATAAGCCAAGAGACTGAAGTAAAACACATCCACACTGGAAATGGAAAAGTTAAACTCTTTATTCACAAACAACATGATCATCTGTGGAGAATATCTAGTGGGATCTACAAAAACAAAAAGCTACTAGAATTAGTAATTTAGTTTAAAAAGTATTCTGGGTACAAGATCAATATACAAAAAGTAACTGTGTTTCTATAAGCAACAATAAACAATTAGAAATTGAAATTTTTAAAATACCATATACAATAACCTAAAAAAGTATATAATATGACAAAAGATATGTTCATGGATTGGAGGACCCAATATCATTAAGATGTCAATTCTCCCAAAGTTGATCTATAAATTCAATGCAATCATAATCAAAATCCCAGCAGACGCTTTGTAGAAAAAATTTGAGAAGCCAATTCTTATGGGAGTGCAAAGGAACTAGAATAGCCAAACTACTTTCTTTAAAAGTTATATCCCAGGCCTTCCCCTTCTGGGATCTCAAGCAAAGGAGCAAAGGGAAACTGCTCAGGGTGTTGGAGGTGCCCGTTATCCTGATTGTGGAAACGTTTCACAAGTGTGTACAGATGCCAGACTTGCCAAATTTCACACTTTAAATATGTGTGGTTACTCCTGTCAGTTCACCTCAGTAAACCTGCTTTTTCAAGGCACACACACAAAGAGCCAAAAGGCACCCAAGGTTCCAGAAGTGCTCAGGTGGAGGGCACAGTTTCTCAATCTTGGTTTCCCACTAAAATCACCTTAAATCCTAATGCCCCAGACCAGTCGAATTAGAATCTCCGGGGATGGAATCACCCAGACACCAGTACTTTTAAAGCTCCCGAGGAAATGCCAGAGTGCAGCCAATGTTGAGAACTGGTGAGAGAGATACGGGAGTCAACAGCACGTGAGGAATAAAGCAAGAGGAAGCGTGCAGGACACAGCGCTGGTGCAAGGCGAGCCATGGGAGGGTTGCCCAAGGTGAGAGTAGGACATGGGGCTAAGAGGACGACCGTAGTAGAAATCCAAAGGGCAGGGATAACTCATAACCATGAGTGCAGGATGTGTTGTAAATTAGAAGGTCGTTCTGTCCACCAAAATTAGGGTGTGCGTATATCTTGAAAAGATAGTGGGCAGAATCATCCAGATCCCTGGCTATGTGATTGTTAATTCTTTTCTTTTGGGGGGAACCCTGGTCTAGAAAATGCCCACTCTCATTAAACTGCCCTGAAGTTCATTAAATTACTCTTACTCAGAGAACAAAAGGAGGAGTTCCTGCCTGTGATAGACAGGAAGAGGCACAAAGGACACAAGAGGGCAAGGGGCCTCAGTTCCTCCTCTAAACCAGAGACTCTCTGAATTGGGGTGTTTCGGGATCACTAGGGACTACATGCCTGGAGTGGGGCCCAAGCGCCTATATTCTCAGTAAGTCCCATAGGCTCCCAAAGTTTCAGAGCCAACACTAGCCCACCAGCTGAGGAGGACATCTATTAAAACCATCCGAAACCCCCACCCAGCCTCAAGCTCCGGTTCTGCAGGTGAGTGGAGAGGAATGCTGGTTTTCGTCGGTGAAGGGTCTCTCATGCCTGTTTATTGCGCATGCAGAAGGTTCTGGGGTAAGGCAGATAAATGGTACTGCAGGGGCCTCGGCTGAGCGGCTTCACGAAGGTCACAAAGCCAAGGCCAGCCCCTTAGTACAAGACGGACTTTCTCACACACATATCTCTCGATAAGAACTGAGTCCCCGGGCCCTTGATGTGTCTGCCACCTGCACTCATGATGTCATGGAAACTTCTGTGTGGCTGGGTCCCTGAACACAGCAGCCACCCTCAGCTGTGGTGAGGAAGCCCAAACTCAGGAAGTGTTGTATCGAGCTGACTGGAGGCCACAGGTAGCCAAAGGGGGTGTGGTGGGGCAGACCCTGCACCCGGGGAGCCCACCGGGCCCGAAGGACCAGTGAGCCAGGATGCGGTGAGACACTGCCTATCGCACTGTCCGCGTGGGGCGGGCTCAGGGAAGCGATGAAGGAGCACAAGTGGGCAGGGAGGGCAAGGGCCCTGCCAAATCAGGACAACGCCCATGCCTTGCCCAGGAGCCTTGAGAAGTCCAGGCGCCTGCTGAGTGAAAGAAGACATCTTTATTGGCTGAGCAAGGAGAGACGGTACAGTGGATGACTGATGCGCCCATAAGCCGTCAGTCTCAGGTTCACTTGTTCCGAGGCCAGTTCTCACCCAGGTGACTGTACTGAGCATCACTCCGATCTCTAAGGGGCTGAGAGGAGAAGGGGCAGGGTCAGGAGGACCCCAGCAGGTCCCTGAGAGCTTATGCCTGGCCTTCCCGGACCCCAGCGCCAGTGAATTCCCCACCAGGACCCCCATACATGCACGTAACTCCTGGGGCCAGCTTCTCCATCCCCACTCACTCCTCCCGTTCTCATCTCTTTCTCATCAGGGCTCACCTGGTAGAGCTGGTCATTCCTCAATAGGGCTTGAGTGTCGGCAGCTAGAAGAACCGGGGAAAGAGAGTTATAAAGGGCATAGGGGGATGAGACAGTGAGATCGTGGACACTGCAGGGGACTGCAGCTGGTCACACCCTCAGAAGACTGCATGAGCAATGCGGCACACGAGTTCTTTCCATAACCAGTTGTAAAAATCCTTATGAGATTGCAAGAGTGATTTCCAGATGAGCTGCAACCCACTGCAGCCCTATTCCTTGCCAGGTGCACACTCACACCCACGCCCACAACACACACGCACACACACATGTTCTGTCCCTCCCACTTACCCTTTGAGAACCTTCCGGTCTCATGACCAGCAAAGCAGTAGGTTCCCAAAGCAAGGAGCAGAGTGGCGATGATATCGGTGATGACGATGCCAGCCAGGGTAGCAGAGTCCAGCTCCACACAGTTCTGGCACACTGAGGGAAGGGAGGCAAGAGGAGAGGTGGGTGCCTTTCGAGACCAGGAAACCACCTCTGCCTCCCAGAGCAGCCCCAGGATCTCTCAAGTCAAGACCTGAACTTAAGATCCTTGGAGAAAGACCTGCTGGTGGCCTTGCTATATCCACCTCGGCTTTTCATCCCCAAGAATCCCTGAGGAGAGCAAGAAGTGGCTTTGTAGGAAATTAAACAAGGTAAAGGTCAAAACACTCTCCCAACAACGCCCCTACTGCTTGAATCACAAGGCCCCTGCTGCTCTTTCTTCATTCTCCAACTCTGAGGGCCCAAAAACCTAACAGTGACCCCAGTTTGTTTAGAGAACAGATTGGTCCAACACAGCCCCCACCAGCTAGAAAGTTCTCACATCCGGAGGCCCTATCCATTCCACCCAAAGGTTTAGGAGGACATACTTCGGTAATATATTTGCAGGGTACGTGCGAAGCCTTCTTTCTGTGTCCCATTGCACGTATACACTCCCCGTGGGTCCAGGATGCGTTTTCCCAAGTCCAGACTTTTATTGTCCGAAGCCAGGTTCCCCATCGTTCCCGCCAGCCATGTGATGGTGCCCTCACAATTCAAAAACACTCTGTCCTCAAGTTCATTCACGGTTGTCTCGGAGGGGCTCACTAAGGAAAAAAACACCAGGATTGGAGCCCCTGCTTTGGTCGGCCCCAGACCCTTTTTCTGCTGAGGTTCGTACTTAAAAAGGGCCACTTTTCAAGATCCCGGACAGTTTATGGTTCCTAGCAAGAGAGAAGTCACAAGAAAAAGGCTTCGGGAGGCTGTCCATTAACTTCAGGGGCCAGGAAGGACAAAAGGATGCAATCCAAGCAGAGAGTAGGCCCCGATGGACAAAGACTAAAAGGAGAACCGTAGAAATAGGTTGACCTAAGAACCTTCCTGGAAGTGAGTCCAGACCACTGATTAGAAGTAGGAGGGGAGCAGACTGATGAATCTCAGAGGGAAGGGGGGGAGAGAGGTTTAACAAAGAACTTATATGCATGTATGCAAAGCCCATGGGCACAGACAAGGGTGCGGCGAAGGCCTTGGGAGGGGCAGGAGCTGCGTGGAGGGGTCAGTGGGTGGGGGGCAGGGGGCATCTGTAATGCTTTCAACAATAAAGATAAATTAAAAAATAGAATAAAATTAAAAGAAGTAGGAGGGGAGCCTAGACTGCTAAGCATCCAAAGGGTAAGAAGGCAGAACACTCCTTGCTTGGAGATGTCCACATTTTTCCTCTAGGAAAACTTCTAGAGGAAGTTTTCCCGCCACCTACAACACTCCCACTTCAATTTCTTCCGCTCTTTTTTCACCCTTTTCATCACCCCAGCAACTACCAAGGGAATGGGTCTGTCACAGTGAGAGAAGCTGATCTGAATCACCAGCCCGGGGGGCCAGAAGGGAGCCCAGGGCAAATCCCGTGTGAAGATTGCTAGTTGTTCTACCCTTGCTTACACGAGGAAGGACAGAAAGATTCATCAAACCTATTCTTGGGGCTCCACGCAGGTCAAGGCTTGTGGGGAGTTTAAACACCTTTCTAGAGCCACTGAATTGCTTTGACTGGGAGCATGTCCACAGAGGCACTGGGATCTTATCTCCAACCCCAGGGAACGTGGGATCCACATCCTCCCTGCGCTTCATACTCAGTTACCAGCTCGGTACAGAGCACCTTCTAGAAAACCCCAGTGCCCCTGAAGCAGGTCGGGAATAGACGGTGTCTACTCAGGAAGACACAAGTGCATCGGATACCTCACATCCCACACTCGTGTCCTCTTCGGGGTCCTTCTCCAGTGAAAATGCTGGGTATCCCAAAGCAGCTGATTCCTCAGGTAGCCATTCACCCCAGTTTGCCCGGGTCGGAAGGGTTCATGGGACACAGGATTATACTTTTTTAAAGCAGGCAAACAAAGATGAGTTGGTCGTTCTCCTACCCCAAGTCTGCCCTCCCTCCTGCCCAACCTGATGTTAGCGCTTCTCGGAAAACACTCCCCGGAGTGCTGGGGCATGGCTCCAGGAGGCGGCATGAGGATGGCTAGTCACCGCCCCGGGCCCCAGGGGCTCTCCACCCTGGGGGAACAGTGCTCCCATCATCAGCCCGAGGCTCAGGCACACACATACCAACATCTCCTACAGATCTCTGGCCTGAGGGCTTCAGAGAGACACTCAAGGCCAAGATGCACCCTTAACTGGAGGCCCTTAACTGGAGGCGGTCAAAGCCAAGAGCCCGTTTCCCACACCCAGCACTACATCCCAAAGCTGCCCTCCTTGGTGAATTTAAAGCTAGCACGAGGACTTTCAAGCGGACCTCACTCCGGGTGGCAATGTCCCTCTCAGGCCTCTTCTCCAAGATGCTCCGCCACCTGGAGAAGCCTTACCTTGGGAGAGAAAGGCAGCCAGCATCAGGCCGGCCAGAAACCTGCTGTGTTCCATCTCCCAGAGAACTCATGCAGCCATAGACCCAGGTCACAGACGCCCAGCCAGGGTGAGAGGCCCCCCCACTGACTCACACACCGGAAAAGGCAGAGGGTGGGGGCGCACCAGGAGCCTCCTCGCTCTGCTCGCTGCTGTTGGTGGCGGAGGTAGTCGGGCGGCTTGGGGGGGGCAGGAAGGAAGCAGGTACAAACGGCTCTCTGTGAGCGGGAAGCCCAGGGGTGGAGTGACAGGGACAGCAGAGGCCACGGAAAAGGCCCCCTGGATGGCTGGGAAGTTCAAGGAGATTTGGGACGGCCCTTTCCTGAGTCACTGATGAAAGCCAAAGCTTCAGAGTTCCTGTGAACCGCTGCATTTCTTCACCACCTAGAGACCGCCACCCCGCCCCGTCCCAAACCAGCTGGGCTCCCCCCACTCCTGCTCTTTCTTGGGACCCCAGCCAACATCCTCTTTGAGCACTTGGGACAACAAACTAAGTAGTTCTTTCCAGTGGGGGGTTGCGCTTTGGGGCCCCCGCCCCCCACAGAGATCTGAGTCCTGGGCCGATGCTGTCTACCCGCTGGGCCCGGGCCAGTCGTGGAATTACTCAGAGTCTGATTCCCTCAGCATCACGATAAGGTTTGGTTTCGTTACCTACTTGTATTTTATTTTTTAATCACAATTGACATTCAGTGTTATATTAGCGTCAGGTGTACAGAATAGCGGTTAGACATTTATGTGCCTTACAAAGTGATTCCTACCCCCGTAAGCCTCGCGCCCACCTGGCACCCTACACAGTTATAACAACATGACTGACGATATTCCCTGGGCGGCACTTTCCATCCCTGCGACTGTTCTGGAGCAACCAACCAGTACTTCTCAGTCCCTGCTCCTTTTTTGTCCAGCCTCCCAACCGCCCTCCCATCTGGCAACCATCAGTTTGTTCCTGTATCTGAGTCTGTTTCTGTTTCCTTGTTTATTCTACTTTTTTATTATTATTGATTTTAGAGAGGGAGGAAGAGAGAGAGAGGAACAGGAAGGAACATCCATGTGAGAGAGATCCATCAATCAGTTGCCTGCCATAGGCACCCCGACCAGGGCTCGAACCCACAACCTAGGCATGTGCCCTGACCAGGGTCAAAGCGGAAACCTTCCAGTGCAGGGGCCAACGCTCCAACCAACTGGGCCACACTGGCCAGGGCTCTTTACTCTGCTTTTCAGATTCCACAGATAAGTAAAACCATCGGGCGCGTGTCCTCCACCTGACATTTCACCCAGCACAGTGCTCTCTGGGTCCATCCATGCTGTTGCAAATAGTAAGATTTTATTCTTTTTTATGGAACATAGTTGTTGCCATTTTATTAATTGTTTTCTGATTGTTTTGGCAGCTCTTCTCTGTCCCTTTCTTACTCTCTCGCGCTCTTCTCTTGTACTTGGATGGCTTTCTGAAGGGCTGTGTTTTGATTCCTTTCTCTTTATGTTTATCTCCTGGAGATTTTTGGTTTGGGGTTACCATGTGCTTCATACATACCAGGCTATGTTTATAGCAGTTCATTTCAAGTTGATGGTTGCTTAAGTTCCAACACATTCTAAAATCACTACCACTTTTACTCACCCCCTCCACATTTATATTTTTATCAATATTTTTTCTTCTTTTGTGTTTGTGTGTGTCCTTTAATTTACTGTTGTAAATTGCACATGATAGTCCTCCTTTTGCCTTCAAGCCTTTGTACTTGCTTTAGTGATGGTTGATCCACTGATTTTATGATGTGTTTGCCTTTGTAGGTGAGATACTTTTTCTTTGCAGTATTTTCTATTTCATATTTTTTATTTTCTTCTTTTTTTAAAGAAGACCCTTTAACATTTTTGTAATACTGGTTTGGTGGTGATGACCTTCTTCAGCTTTTTCTTGTCTGGGAAGTTCTGTTGTTGTTGTTTAGATTTTATTTCATAATCATAAACTTAACTCTGCAATCCAGCTGGACTTGGAAGGAATAAGGAAAATGTGGAACCCAATGAACTGTGGGGAGAGCATGAAGATTATAGAACATTCCATGCAGATGGGGCGAAGGGGGTCTCTCCTGGGCTACAGAAGGAATGGTCTGGTGGTTAAAATAAAACACAAGTCAAATTTATTAGTGTTGTCCACAGTCAGCAGTGATCTTCTTGCTGGTCTTGCCATCCGGGACCCACAGCGCTCCATGGCTGCACAGTGTCCATGTCATCTCTCACCCGACTGGAGACCACACGCCTGCCACCTGACCACTCAGGCTCACAATGCAGATGAAACACAGGGTCCAGCATTTGCCATGGACGACGTGCCAGGACCGATGAGCTTCAGGATGAAATTCCCATCATCAATTTCTCTCCATAGACGGACTTGCTGCCTGCGCCATCACAGCTGTGAGGTCACCACCTGGCACACAAATCTCGGAGTGATTCTGTGAAAGGAGGGACCTTTATAACCAGATCCTTTCTCCCCAGTGCTCAGAGCATGAGAGTTTTCTGCTGTCTTTGGAATTTTGTCTTCAAACAGCTCGAAGAAGACGTGACCCAAAGTTTGCCATCCATGGCGATGTTGAAGAACACGGTGGGGTTTACCATGGCTGGGCACAGGAGGCTCCAGTGCCAGTGGAGTCTGCAAGGCAGGCAGAAGGTTTTACCTGACCTTTGATTCTAAATAATGGCCTTGCTGGGTAGATCTTCGCTTTTCATAACTTTGAATATTTCTTGCCACTCCCCTCTGGCCTGCAAAGCTTCTGTTGAGAAATCAGCTGACAGTCCTATGGGAGCTCCCTTATAGGTAATTGTCTTTCTCTTGCTGCTTTTAAGATTCTCTCTTTGTCTTTAACCGTTTGCATTTTAATTATGTGTCTTGCTGTGGGCCTCTTTGGGTTCCTCTTGTTGGGACTCTCTGCACTTCCTGGACTTGTATGTCTTTCTTCACTGGGTTAGGGAAGTTTTTTGTCATTATTTCTTAAATAGATTTCCAATCCCTTACTCTTTCTCTTCTCTTTCTTGTACCACTATGACACAAATGTTGTTACGCTTTATGTTGTCCCAGAGGTCACTTAAACAATCTTAATTTTTTAAAATTATCTTTTCTTTTTGATGTTCTGATTGGGTGTTTTCTGCTACTTTTTTAAAAAACACTTTTTTAAATATGTTTTTATTGATTTTTTTAGAGAGAGAGAAAGGGAAGGGGAGAGACACATAGAAACATCAATGAGAGAGAAACATCAGTTGGATTCCTCCTGCATGCCCCCTACTGGGGAGTGAACCTACTGGGCATGTGCCTTGACAGGAAATCGAAGCAGCGACCTCTTGGTGCAGGGGACAATGCTTAACCAACTGAGCCACACTGGCCAGGCTCCACTACCTTATTGTTGGGAGCTGATGACGTGTCTGGACATGGTCCATGTCACCTGAGGGTCTGGAGTCAAGGTCTCGACCCTCCCCACAAGTACCCTTGAGGAGCCGAGATAAAGAAATTACCAAAGTCTGGGCTCACGCAGGAGGCGATATTTACTCTGAAAGAGTGTTTATGCAGCCTCAAAGGAGCTACTTTGTATCACCCTCACCTCATTACCAATTGTTTGTTACTATATAATAAAGGTGTTGAAGCCATTTGAGGCTGCTCCTCATTAGAGGACAGTCCTCCTGATCCCATAACTTTGCCGCTTTCATTCCCACCACTCGAACTCAGGCTTGTTCGTTTCTCAGGCTGGTTCCTGACACTTTATCTTCCAAATCTTGATTCAATCTTCTGTTTCCTCTAATCTGCTGTTGATAAGCTCTAATGTATTCTTCATTTGTGATAAGGATTTTAACAAAATGTTTACATGATGCTTGACACATAATTTGTGCTCAGTAAGAAAGAGTTATTAATAACAATATGATTATCTTGTAGGTAGAGTTGAGCCTTCGCAGGAAACAAATGTACTTTTTCCCCCTGTGGCCTATGGGGATCTGAAACTCTCTACACTGCTGAAGTTGGACTATAATTTACCTGAGGGCAGAGATCATGTATGTCTCACTTGTTTCTGTGTTTCCAACTCCTGGCTTGTGCCTGGCACATGACGAGAGTTCCATCCAATTTTATTGACTCACTCACTGGCTGGCTGGGGGAGATAGGGGCCTGAGATCTTGGAAACTCAACTAGGCCCTGGCCCTTGGCAATGTATGGCCTGTCAGATTGGAATTGTCCTACCTATTTCCTTCCAGGCAAGCATCTCTTTGATGATCTCATCTCAAAAGGACAGTAAAAAATTCCTGAATGAGGACCTGGACTGAGGTGTGTTTTTTGTCACAGCTCCAGCCCTGAGCACCTGAGAGATCCCACCTAAATTCATTCATTCTAGCAACAACTAGCAACAAGCCACAACTGGCTGAGATGCCAGCAATAAATGGTGTCAGAAATGTTTATCTCCCTCATGAAGAAAGAGGCTCAGGCCATTTGCTACTCAGCACCCAAAGCTGCTCTCTGTGCAAGTCAGAGTCTCTGAGATGGGAACCCAGCTCTCGCAACTCTCCCTCCTCACCACTTCCCACCCTTCACTCCTTAACGGAAAAGCAAGAGACATCTGCACCTGCAGCCCTGCTGAGGCTTCAGTAGCCCACACTTGAAGCTGAGGGTGGAGGCTCTGGGTTCTTGCCTCCTTGCAGGGGCCCCAGCCTGACGGATGCTGGGCGGAGCGAGGCTAGCTGCTGCACAGGCTAGCTGGCTGCTCAAGGCTGCTCAGCGCTTCTGCGAGAGAACAGAGACTGACATGGAACAGGGGAAGCGTCTGGCTGGCCTCCTCCTGGCTATTTCTCTTCTTCAAGGTAAGGGCCCGCTTACGGCGTCTGACAACCTGGAAAAAGACTCAAGGGAAGAGGCCACTACTAGGGAACAAGAATATTGGGATCCCTGACCTTGAGCCTACTCAGCTGTCACCTTAGAGTTCAGGGAAAGCAGGGTGAAAATGGAGCCCCTTACTGTTCTCAGTTAGAGGGAAGCAGTGTCCCATAAGAGAGATGGGGTCTTATCTCCTAAGAAATCAAATTTAGCTGGCTAGAGAGAGAACCCGGATGTCGCCATCTTAGGTTTGAATGTAGCCCAAAGGGGCACACGCCAGGAACCTGAAAAGAAAAGGTATGTGTTTTTAACTCAGAGCTGGAGTTAGGAGTAGACCTGTGAAGCACTCACTGAGTTGGTCAGTTCATCAACTGGTCAACAAGTGTGAGTGAGGTCCTATCATGTAATAGGCTGCGAAGATATAAAGATAAATGAAAACCTTCTGCCCTGCACTGCCCTGTCCTGGCAGGCGTGGCTCAGTTGGTTGGAGCTTCATCCCATACACCCAAAAGGTGGCAGATTCAATTCCCAGCCGGGGCATATACCCAGGTTGCAGTGTTTGATCCCCAGTCGTGGCGAATGCCCGAGACAACCGATCAAAGTTTCTCTATCTCTCTTCCTCTCTGTCTCTCTCCCTCTCTCTCCCCTTCTCTCTCTAAAAAGAAAAAAAAAAAGCTTGTAAAAAAAACTTCTCCCCTAAAGAACTCATAAACTAATCAAAGAAATAGGTTTTGGTGTTGCGAGATTGAGTGTAAGGTACAATAGAAGATGCCTGTATGAATATTCAGTTGTAAATATCCAACGGGAAGTGGAAGAACTGGGCCGATGCCTACAGTCAAGGCTGGAGGTGGTTCTCCACACAATGGGGGAAACTAACACCAGGAAAGTTGTTGAAATCACACAAGTACTATGTTAGATATGAGGAAGAACGGGCTGAGGATGGAACTGTGAGGATACCAACCTTTACGGGGTAGAGAGAAAAAACCTCTGGAAAGAGATAAGGGAATGATCGAAGAGCTGGAATAATCAGATGATTCCAATACGATGGAAACCAAAGAAGGAGAGAGCTTCCCAAAGGAGAAATTCACTGAGAGGATGAAATAGTGAAGAGTGACACACTAATATAAGAATATATTTATAAGTGTAAGTTTGTGGGATTTGGCAATATAAAGGTCATGGATAACTTAGAATGGTTTCCTTGGGGTAGTGTGAGTAGAAAGGAAATGGAAATGAGTGGAAGGGGAAGGGCAGATGTAGAGAAGGTGAAGAGAGGCAAGTGTAGAGTATTCTTTAAAGAAGTTTTGATGAGACGGAGGGAGAGTTTGAGTGGTAAACGGGTACAACAGTCTAAGAAGAAATTTTTTTAGTATGAAAGAAATTTGAGCACGTTTCTAAGCTAAGGGAAAAGACAGTGAATAGAGTGAGGTCCTGGAGTTGATGTTGAAAGGATAGAGTCAAAAGTGGGGTCACGGGCACGGAGGGGAAGGCAGCCTCGCCCCTGAGACCAGAAGAAAAGAAGTGCAGATGGCTTCCGCCGCAGACAGGCCTGTAGGTGGGACGGACGCTGCAGGAGAGGGGCCATTGCAGCATCTATGTTCTCAGCCAAGGAAGAGGCAGGCAACGCCACCCGCTGAGGCCGAGCGGGGTGATGGGAGTGGGGGACTTGAAGGAGGCAGTGAGAGTTCAGAATAATTTCTGAGGGGAGCGAGGAAGACAGCACAGGTTGAAGGGCAATAGGCAAAGTCCACGCGAGGCAGCTCTCCCTGCACAGTGGAAAGAGCACGGGCTGAGCAACAGACACCCGAGCTCAGCCACCAATGGGCTGTGCGGCCTGGGACAGGGCCCGCTCCCTCTGCGCTCAGCTCTCTCAGCAGTCAACCTAGCAAATTTGGGTACGTTCGCTCTCAAGTCCCAAAAGGAAGCAAGATTCAGATAAGAAAAATTAAAAGATGCCAGCAACCGGTTGGACCCTCTTTCCTATGGAACCTGAGTTAAAATGAGGGACCCATGTGTCCCTCCCGTAGTGAGCAGGCGGTCATGGAGAAGAGCTAGTGAGAGATCTGCTTAACCGCTCGTCTTGCTTTTGAAAAGGCTTTCTCATTTATTCATTTATGCATCTATTCAACAAATATAAAGCTCCTATTATGTCCCAGGCACTATCTGGGCACTATTCATGAAGAGTTCAGCCCTGTGTGATGTTCTAAGACAGCTGACTCCTTCCAACTATTTCCAGCATACTCTGATTCGGTCCCCATTTCCCCCCGCCATACTACCTCTCTGGTCCTTTCCCAAGTCTGTACCTTTGCTTAGCTGTTCTTACTCCCCAGAATGTCTTTCTCTGTCTGGTGAATTCCTCTCTGTTCAGCTTTCCCTGTCACTCACCCTTGGGCAACATCAATAGCTTCTATCCCCTTTCACATGTATTCATATAAGTACTAAATGGTCATTTGTTTTATCACATTAATTACATGTGGGCTTATTTTTCCCACTTCATTGTGAACTCTTTGGAGGCAGCACCTAGTTCTTCATATCGCCACCCTTTTCCTTCACACTGCTTAATCACGTCAGGAACACAATAGTGCCCAGTAAATGTTTGCATTAAATCCGACTGGATTGAACTCCAGTGCTAGTTCTCTATTGGAGTTCTACCACACAACTCTGCTACTCTGGGTTTTGCCGCAGATTTGCGATTTATTGAATAGCTAACTCCCATGGGACATTCAGGGTTTCTACAAGAAATGTATCATCAGAACTGAAGATTTTAGAAGTAATTCAGCTCTAACAGGCTTTAGCTAGTGCACACTCACTCCTTGCCAGGACTCCAGCTGCTAAAGGGGCAGAGCAGAGCATTCAGACTGTACAGGCAATACCCTTACACATGCTGCAATGTCATTCTGATGCTAAGAGTTAGCATCAGACCTCGTGGGTTAAGGGCACAGTCACCAACAAGACTGCCCTCGCTTTCAATGCTAGGCACAAGTTCCGGGGTCTCCAGAACACCCACCCTTCTGACAAACTGCATACAAATCTAGAGGGTTCCCACAGTCCCCTCAGATCTATTAATTTGCTAGAACAACTCACAGAACTCAGGAAAGCACTATACTTACTATTACAGTTTTGTTACAAGAAACAGAATCAGGACTAGTCAAAAGAAGAGACACATAGGATGGGTCTGGGAGGTTCCTGAGCGCAGAGCTTCTGTGCCTCTCCCAGTGGAATCAGCACACATCACATTCCTGGCGCGCTGATGTGTTCACCAGCCAGGAAGCCGAGTTTTTATTGGGGTTTCATTTCATAGGCATGATTAATTGAATCATTGGCGGTGAGAATAAATTCAATCTCCAGTGCCCCTCCCCTCCCATAGCTTAAAGTCCCAGTTCTCTAATCACATGGTTGGTCTGGACCAACCCCATCCTGAGTCATCTCATTAGTATAAACTCACACATGTGATCCAAGGGCCCACCAAGAACAACAAAGGCACTCCTGAAATTCCGAGGGTTTAGAAACTCCCTCCCAGGAATTCATCACAGAGACCAGACAAATCCTTCATTGCACAAATGCCCTGAATTCAATTTAGTGACTCGGGTTCACAATCCAGGGACACAGGTGTAGACACTGTTACTCCAGTGGATTACCACCTCTCTCGATGGTATCTAAATGATACCTCAGGGCATCTGAGTAACTCCATGCCCAGCTGATCCTCTGTCTCTCTTCTGTTCCTACAGGTACAATTGCCCAGTTGAAACAAGGTAGGAAATGGCTTCTTTCTCTGCTCAAATTCAGGGAATTCATGGACTGTGGCTTCTGGATGAGATAATGAGTGATAAATAACAAACCTCTCCACTGGCAACCAAATCAGTAGCCAGTTACGACCAGCAATTAATTGTCTGATTCTGGGAGGAGAAACAGGACCCTAGCAGCTAGGCATTACTCAGAGTGCCACCCATGAACCAGCAGCATTGGCATCACCTGGGAGCATGTTAGATATGCAGCCCCTCAGCCCCTCCCAGAACTACTAAATCAGAACCTGAAGTTCCAACTAGATCCCCACGTGAGTCATGTACACGTTAGTGTTTGAGAAGCACTGCTGTAAGTCGTCTTCTAATACCTGGGGTAGAAAGAATTTCAGAGGCAAGATACTTAACGGGCCATGGCTTTTCCCTTTTCAGAAGAAGCTCTGGTAACAGTGGATGACAGCCAAGAAGATGGTTCCGTATTTCTGACTTGTAACTTGGCAGAAGAAAATATCAAATGGTTTAAAGATGGGAAGGAAATAACTACAAAGGAAAAGACATGGAATGTGGGAAATAGTTGGAAGGACCCTAAAGGGACATATTGGTGCGAAGGATCAAAGAACAGTTCCAAACGTCTCCAAGTGTATTATAGAAGTACGCCACCCTACGGTTTGCGTGCCGCGAAATTAGGCTGTGCTTGCTGTTGGTGACCTCCCGTCCAGAATGAGTGGGAAAATAGGTGCTAAAGAGTGACCAAGCAGATGCTAAACAGCGTGCCTCTTATTGAATATAACCAGACAGTTCCCCCCGCTTCTTGGTAAAGCATAGCCGGGTTTCCCTTCGTGTGGGCCGCTGGACTGGAGCAGTCAGCAACTCACATCAGCCGAGTTAGGGAGGGCCCGGGAGACGGGGATCGCAAGGTGGGCAGCGGTGAGGCAGGGGGGCAGCGAGCATGAAGAAGGGGATCTGGTCTTTCTTCTATTTCACATAGTTCCCGGTAATAAGACTCCATGGGCTTCCCCAGGACCCCTGGAGGAGCGAAGAGCCTCAAGAAGCATTGCGTTCTGCCCAGCTGGCGTGAACCAGGAGGCCAAGTTCCGGTCCTGGTCCAGGCACACGCCCAGGTTACAGGCTCGATCCCCAGCAGCGGGTGCAGGAGGCAGCCAGCCCGCGACTCTCCCGGCATGGATGTTTCTCTCCCCCTCCCTCCCTGTCTCTGAGATCAGTTTTTAAAGTACATTCAGAAGAAGAGGCAGCATTGTGTTCTCAGTCCAAGGATGTCCCCAGGCCCCGCAGAGGGAGCAGCCTGTCGCCCTAGCTAGACAGAAGCATTATTGCTGGTAGGCAGGAGGGAAAGATCCGAAAGGCCAACTCTCACAGCCTGAAGTAGACCTGTCTCCCTTTCCTCAGTGTGTCAGAACTGCATTAGGCTGAGCGCGTCCACTGTGTCGGGCTTCGTCTTCGCCGAAATCCTCAGCGTTTTCTTCCTTGCTGTTGGGGTGTACTTCATTGCTGGGCAGGACAGCGTTCGCCAGTCGAGAGGTAAAAGAATGTTCTTAGATGACGTAGGAAACCACCTGGGACCCTCAGCTTTCTTCCAACCAAAACAGTCCCAGGAAAAGAGCCCGAGTCGGCGCCTGCCGCTCATGTGCAGGGTCGGCGGGGCTCTGCAGTCAGGAGAAAGGACGCGCCGTGTTTTCACAGCATGCTTGCCTGTCTCAAGGTCAGCGTCCTCTGATTTGTCCTGTTTCTTAAAAAACTGTTTATTGAAGTAAAACCAACATATAGAAAAGTGCATCAATCATAAGAAAACAGCCCAAAAAAATTAATAAAGCAAGCACAGCCAGACATCCAGCGTAAGAATGTTACCAACGCCTTAGTGGTCACGCCAGACTCTCCCTATGCCTAGAAGTGAGCGCTTACAACACAGATATTTTCCCTGTTTTTGTGCCTTATGTCAAGGGACTCATACAGTCAGCACTCTCGAGTGTGACTTCTTTTACTCAACAATATGCCCGTGATAGCCACTCATATTCTTTGCGTAGCGGCTTCACTAATTCCTGTTGCTGCTTCGCATTCCATTGCGCGAACGTAACCAACTCACGGTCCATTCTTCCTTGTGTGTGTGTGTGTGTTGTTTCTCTTCTGCGCAGCTTCAGACAAGCAGACCCTGCTGTCCAATGACCAGCTGTACCAGGTAAGGGAATGAGGAATGACAACGTCGCTACAATGGTGGTGGTTTAAAATTTCGGAATGGGGCGGGGGGAAGTCATTTGGAAGATACTGTATAGTTAAGAAACTGCTTAGGACATACCAGATGAGGCATAGTTATCCCTTTGGGTAGAACAGGTGAAATAAGGGGAAGGGCTGAGAGACACTGAGGTCAGGATCTAGAGAGAAAAGTCAAAGAGCACCTGAGAGGAAAGTATATACAGAGCCTCCGTCTTTTCACCCTCTCTCTGCCCCAGGACCCCAACGCACCCACTTCAAAGCCTTGCACACAGAAAGCACTCAATAAATATGCACCATATTGATTCCTAAAGGATGGGGGAATGAGCTTATGACTGTGCTGTCCTCTTTAGCCCCTCAAGGATCGGGACGATGACCAGTACAGCCACCTTCAAGGGAACCAACTGAGGAAAAAATGAGCTCAGGACTCAGAGGAGGTGTGTCCTTCTACACCATTTCCAAGACAGTGCCTTTGCATTTCCTGCCTCTCAACTGCTGCTAAGTCTCTCTCCTTTTCCCCAGACAGCTGGGGCAGGGTGGGGGTGATTGTGAGGCCCATTTCTAAAAACACAGGGGCCAGTGCTAATTTTCTTGGCCTAAGAAAATATGAAAACTGAATGCTGAATATTAATCTTATTTCTATATAACAGTTTTTCAGCATCCACACTATTAACATCTTGGTCTAGATCATTCTCTGAGGTGGGGGCACTGGCCTGTGCATTGTGGGTTTTCAGCAGCCTCCCTGGCCTCTGTTCACCAGATGTCAGCAGTGCCCCCATTTTGACAACCAAAAAAAAAAAATCTCCAGATGTTGCAAGTGTCCCCTCAGGGGCAAAATCACCCTTAACTAAAACCACTGATCTGTATTAACTTGTCAACCAATCAATCACTCAGAAGTTCTGATTCAATCAATTGGAAGTTTTCTGAACCAACGGTAATTTTTTTTTAATCCAGGTCTTCTCCTCCCTCTCCAGTTCTCAGAAACAAAGCAATGCAGTTTGGAGCACTCCCGGCAGACTTTCAGCTCTAAATCTAGACTCAGTTTCCAATGGTGGCAAATGGAGAAGAAAGGCCATTGGAGCAAATTTGGGGTTTTCTCAAAATTAAAATTATAAAAAAGTAAAAACATATATGGTGTTTCAGGAGTACTGCCAATTGGGAAGTAATTTTTCTGTAAAAGAAAAATGAAAATGTCAATAACTCCCTCTATTTGAATATAAATTTTTAAGTTTTCATTTTTATTTACTTTTTATATAGGTCATAATTCACATGGGTCAAATATGCAATCAAATGCCTCCCTCCACCTCCATCCACAGCCACCCAGTTGCCCTCTCCACAGACAAACAATATACTAGTTTGCAATATATCTTTACAAGATATATAATGTATTATGTATCAGAGGCATTCTAGGTATACATAAGCAAATTCTTAAGCACACATTTTCTCCCATCTCCTTTTTTCACACAAATAGTATCATGCTATACATCTTGCACTTTTCACCTAAGAAAACCTGAAGATTATTTTATACCAGCGTATAAAGAAGCTTCTTTTCCTAATGCGGACACATTGTACAGATACACTATCACTTGTTTAGCCAGTCCTCTGTTGACGGGCATTTAAATTGGTTCCAATTGCTGGCTCTTACAATGAATGCTGCAATGACTAACACTGTAAAAATGTCATTTTAAAAAATAATTGTATTAAGGTATAATTTGCTATGAATGCATTCATTTTAAGTGACTTCACCCGTTCTCAGTAATTTTTAACAAATTTATCCAGTTGTATACACCCATCACCATAATCCAGATTTAGAACATTTCCATCACTCTCTTAAGATCACTTGTGCTGTTTGCAGTCACCCCCTGTTCCCACCTTCAGCCCCAGGCCACCACTAATCTCTTCTGTCTCATCCAATTTGCCTTTTCTGGACATTTCATATAAATGGAATCAATATGCGGCTCCAGAGCAGCATTAGCATGCAAGCCTTTGGGTGGACACATTTTTTTATTTATCTGGGTTGATACCTAGAAGTGAATTATTACTGCCCTGTGTGGTAAATTTATGATTAACTCTTTAAGAAACTTCTTGTTTTTCTAGTTGACTATCATTTTAAATTCCCACCAGCAATGGATGAGGGTTCTTGTTCCTCCATTTTCTCACCAATATTTGTTACTATGATTTTTTTTAGTATAGCCATTCTAGTGAGCATAAAATGGTATCTTATTGTGACTTTAATTTGCATTTCCCTAGTGACTAACAATGTTAAACATCTTTTCTTGTGCTTATTAGCCATTTTCATATCTTTAATGAAATGTCTAATCAAATCTTTTTTTAACTGGGCTGTCTTACTTTTTGTTGTTTGTTGAATGTAGGAATTCTTACATATTTTTAATACAAGTTCTGTAGCAAATATATGATTTGAAAATATACCTACCAGTCTGTGGCTTGTCTTTTCATTTTCTTAAAGGTGTCTTTTGAAGTGCAAATGTTTTTTAATTTTGATAAAGTCCATTTTATCCATTTTTTTTTTAAATATATCTTTATTGATTTCAGAGAGAGGAAAGGAGAGGAAGAGAGAGAGATAGAAACATCAATGATGAGAGAGTCATTGATCGAGCCCGCAACCCAGGCATGTGCCCTGACCCGGAATCGAACCCCGATCTCCTGGATCCTAGGTTGACGCTCAACCCCTGAGCCACGCCCGGCCGGGCCATTTTATCCATTTTTAAAATGAACTGTGCTTCTGGCGTCATATCTAAGAAATATTTGGCAAACTCAAGGTCACAAGGATTTTTCCTGTTTCTTTTTATACTTTTTAAAGTTTTGTAGCTTTATTTCTAACGATAACTGTCATTTTGAACATGCTTAAGACTATATGTAACAAATACAAATAAATGTAATTGTCGGTCCATATGTATTTACACTTGTTATTTTATTAAAATTACCTAATTGCACTTTATAGAGATTGGACCAATATATACTCCCAATAACAAAAAATGAAAGTACCTCTTACTCCATACACATTCCAACATTGTATTATTAAACTTTTTTGAACTTTGCGAATCTGTTAAAACTATGGCATCTCAGCATACTTTTAATTTGTATTTTTCTTATTAAAAATGAGTGAACCTTGCCCAGCCTGGCGTGGCTCAGCGGTTGAGTGTCAACCTGGGAGCCAGGAGATCCCGGTTCGATTCCAGGTCAGGGCACATGCCAGGGTTGCAGGGTCAATCCCCAGTCGGAGGCATGCAGGAGGCAGCCGATCAATGACTCTCTCATCATTGATGTTTCTATCTCTCTCCCTCTCCCTTTCTCTCTCCAAAATCAATAAAGATTTTTTAAAAAAATAAAAAATGAGTGAACCATTTGTTTTCCCTTCTCAGGAAATATAGGTTCATATCATCTTATCTTTTTCTTATTGACTTGCAAAAGCCCTTTTTATATTTAAGAAACTAGATTAAAGAATCTAGTTTATGACAGTAATTGCAAATATTTTTCCAATTTTGTTATTTGTGTGTTTTTTACTTACTGTTGGTTTTATGCACATTTTACAAACATTTGCATGTAGTAGGATTCATTGTTTTTTTATGACTTCTAGGTTGTTTCATATTTAGAAAGGTCTTCCCCTATTTTAAGATTCTTTTTTAAAAAATTCTCTCAAGAAGTTCAGTCAAGATGGCAGAGTAGGTAAACATAGTATTCAGAACCTCCCAAAACTACAACAAAATTACAACTAAACTACAGAACAACGATCATTCAGAACCACCTAAAGTCTAGATGAACAGAAGTCCTATAACTAAGGATATAAGGAAGAAGTCACATAGAGTCTGGTAGGAGGGGCAGAGAGGTACAACAGGCTGGCTCACGCCCACCTGTAGTGGTTAAATTAAAAATGGGGAGGGATATCTTGGGTGTGGAGTTCCCCCCTGAGGAGTGAGGGGTCTCAGTCCCACACCAGGCCCCCCAGCCCAGAGCTCCAGTGCTAGGAAAAGAAGTCCCTATAACTTCTGGCTGTAAAAACCAACAAGGATTGTGGCTAAGTGAGATGGGGGGCTTCTGAAGGGCCCATGCACAGACTTACACAGATTCAGTTGCTCAGAATTCCAGTGCTGGGGCAGCAGCTCAAAAAGCACCTTATGGACGTATGGGGAGGATCTGAATTGCCTGGCATCAGGGCAAGAGCTGGAGGGGCAGCTTTTTCCCAGAAAGAAGTGCTGGCAAAGGCCATTGTTCCTTTGCTGAGCCCTCCTCTCCCCACAGAGCAGGCAGATGGGTGCCATATCTGAGACTGCATCAACCTGGCTAACACTGTTTACCCCACCCTGGTGATTCCCTGAAACCCCACCCAACTTTCTTTCAGACCCACCCAGGCCCTTTCCAATGACTTTTCCATACAAACAGTGTGTCTTGGCTCAAACAAGCAGCATCTGGCCTCAGTGTGGCCCATACCTCTTGCTAAGTAGCCCCAGGCCCAGTACTAGCAGCACCAGGCCTTGGTTCACAGATTGGCCTTTCCTGGGCATCTCCAAGCCCAGCACAAGTAGCAGCCATCTGGTGGCCCTAGGAAGGGCACAGGCAGTGGCTGACCTTGGCATGCACTTGCTGTGAGGCTCCAGAGCCAGCACACCCAGTGGACAGCTTCAGATCATGCTGAAGCACCAATCAAACACCTCCACAAGTGACACACTCAGGGGTGGACTTGGTGGGTACCTGAGCCTTGCTAAAATGAGCTCTGCACCATGGGGTCGGGCCCTGCACAGCAGATCCTCCATGGTGGCTATGGCCAGTCCTCTCAGTGGCCAGTCCATGAAGCTGGTCAGTCCTCAGAGCAGATTGGCCTAGGGGTAAATCCCTCCCATTAACATACCAATAGCAATTAAGGCTCAACTACAACAGGAAGGTGCACACAGTCCATACAGGGGTGCACCAGGAACAACTCAGATGATCTGGGAGGCTGTGTCACTGGGTCCTACAGAACACCTACTACATAAAGCCACTCTACCAAGACTGGGATGTGTAGCAGTTCTACCTAATACATAGAAACAAACACAGGGAGGCAGCCAAAATGAGGAGACAAAGAAACATGTCCCAAATGAAAGAACAGAACCAAACCCCAGAAAAAGAGTTAAACAAAATGGAGACAAGCAATCTACCAGGTGCAGAGTTCAAAACACGGGTTATAAGGCTGCTCAATGAAATTAGGGGAAGAGTAGAGGAACTTAGAACTTCAACAAAGAGGAAACATAAAAAATGGAACTAGAAAACATAAAAAAGAACCAGTCAGAAATGAAAAAGACATTAACTGAAATGAAGACTACATTACAGGGAATCCACAGTAGAGTAGGTGGAGCAGAGGATCAAGTCAGCAATTTGGAAGATAAGGTAGCAGAAAACACCCAGTCAGAACAGCAAAAAGATT